TTAGCAAGCAAAGTTGTATTAATTCGTCAAACAATTTGACTTTCAAAGTGTTGGAAATAAACTGGAAGGAAGTGGCTATGACTTGGAGGTTTTACATGTAAAAGTAAAAAAAAAGTCTTAATTAGAGCAAATGCACTTTGTTAAATAAAAGTGTTCAGGTATATTCTACATACATTGTACTTCAATATGTAGAATATAAAGAAAAATACAATTTATTAAAACCACATTCATGCACAGGTTTGTGATCTTATAAAGTGCCCAATGAATGATTCCTGATGTAAATGTATGTGGAGAGCATCCTGGGAAATTGCATTATTAAAGCTGATTATGTCCAGTCATCCTTATGTCTGGAAATGTACTCTTCTCTGATGCCTCATCCTATTTTCCAAGCCCAGTATTTAGTAGCAATATATATATATATATATATATATATATATATATATATATATATATATATACACACACACTATACTGCCAAAAGTATTGGAAACACCCCTCCAATGCAAATCAGTGGATTCAGGTGTTCCAATTATCTCCATTGCCACAGATGTATAAAATCAAGCACCTAGGCATAGGCAGACTGCTCCTACAAACATTTGTGAAAGAATGCATGGTACTGTAATAGGTTGCCACCTGTGCAATAATTCCATACGTGAAATTTCCTTGCTACTAAGTATTTCACGTTCAACTGTTAGTGGTATTATAATGAAATGGAAGCAACTGGGTACAACAGCAACTCAGCCATGAAGTGGTAGGCCACGTAAACTGAAAGAGTGGGGTCAGCGCATGCTGAAGCGCACAGTGTGCAGAGGTCGCCAACTGCCTGCAGTCAATAGCTAAAGACCTCAAAACTTTGTGTGGCCTTAAGATTAGCACAATAACAGTGCATATAGAGCTTCATGGAATAGGTTTCCATGGCTGAGCAGCTGCATTCAAGCCCTACATCACCAAGTGCAATGCAAAGCGTTGGATGCAGTGGTGTTAAGCATGCCGCCACTAGACTCTAGAGCAGTGGAGACCTGTTTTCTGGAGTGATGAATCACACTTCTCTATCTGGTAATCTGATGGACGTGTCTGGGTTTGGCAGTTGCCAGGAAAACAGTACTTGCCTGACTCTATTGTGCCAAGTGTAAAGTTTGGCGGAGGGGGGGATTATGGTATGGGGTTGTTGTTTTGCAGGGATTGGACTTGGCCCCTTAGCTCAAGTGAAGGGAACTATTAAGGCGTCAGCATACCAAGACATTTTCGACAATTTCATGCTCCAACTTTGTGGGAACAGCTTGGGGATGGCTCCTTCATCTTCCAACATGACTTCACACCGGTGCACAAAGCAAGGTCCATAAAGACATGGATGAGAGAGTTTGGGGTAGAGGAACTTGATTGGCCTGCGCAGAGTCCTGAACTCAACCCGATAGAACACCTTTGAGATAAATTAGAGCGGAGACTGTGAGCCAGGCCTTCTCATCCAACATCAGTGCCTGACCTCACAAATGTGCTTCTGGAAGAATGGTCAAACAATCCCATAGACACACTCCTAAACCTTGTGGACAGCCTTCCCAGAAGAGTTGAAGCTGTTATAAATGCACAGGGTGGGACAGCTCAATATTAAACCCTTCCATTAAAGTTCATGTGCATGCAAAGGCAGGCTTCCCAATACTTTTGGCAATATATTGAGTGCAGGGGCGGACTGACCATTTGGAAACTTGGGCACTGCCTGAGGGCCAGGGGTCAGTAGGGGGCCCCATGAGATGCCCCTGGTGCCTTTTTCATAGGCTTAGAGTTTGGGCAAGGACACAGGGGCCCCATGATCCCCTATTGCCCGGGGGCCCCATGAGTTGTCAGTCCACCCCTGAGTGAGTGTGTGATATATATATATATATATATAGAGAGAGAGAGAGAGAGAGAGAGAGAGAGAGAGAGAGAGAGCAAACATTACATTGTATGTTTTGGCAACATCTTTCACTTTATTTCCTGTTTTAAAGCTGAACTTCAGGTATTATCATTATTGCATACTTACATTGGGTCACCTTGGATATAACATACCTGAGGGGCCACTGGGGAAGCTGACAATTACTGCTACTACACTAATGATCACAATCTTCTGGGTCTTGTGCCAATCACAAAATACCTTGTATTTTTCTTTGAATACAAGGCATTCTCTGATTGGAGGAGGTGAAGATTATGATGTCACCTTCCCTTCTCTCCACCTTTTCACATTAGAGAGTGCAGTGCAGGGCATTCTGTGAATGGCAGCACAGGACCCGGAAGATTTCGACTATCACTGTAGTAGCATTGACTACTACAGTGATTATCGGCTTTTCCAGTGACCCATCAGGTATGAAATATGCATACATACATTTGTCCAAGCTGACCCAATGTAATTATTTAATAAAGATCACACCAAGAGCTTAAAAAGAGAAAACACAGTGAAAGATATTGCCAAAACATACAATTTAAAGAAATTGCCAGCTGGCTGCTTTAGACAACTCCACTTTAGCTTAGGTTAACACTAGTGCTTCTGCACAATCATGTTTTTTCAGTGCATTTTTATAAAATGTTTTTATGTGCATTTGTTATGCATTTTCATGTTTCTTGTTTATTTTTTCTTTTGTAGGAGGAAAACAAAACCCTAAAACCAAAAACACATGTATATAGATTTTTCATGCACTTTTCATGTACTTCCATTGAAGCCTATGGGGTCAAAACACACTATGCAGCACCAAAAGAAGAGCCAGCACCTTTTCAAAAATCGCACTACGCCATGTTGCATTGATTTGAAAGGGCAACAAAGAGAATAATGTGTTTTCCATTGTTGTGCATTTCAGTACAACAACATATGCAGGAGAACCTTAATGAATAAAAACTTGTACTTGCAGTAGGTCCCCCCCTCCCCCCACTGGAAAGGGGTAATTGTTCATTTTGCTTGGGGGATCATTAATTAGGTGATATACTAACCTTATTCCTCACTCCTGTATGGGAGGTTACTGATGGCCCACCCACAGCAAGGAGTGTCTGAAGGAGCAGAGGGAATGAGGAATACGATAGGTATATTACTTTATTCTACATTCCCTAGGCAAAACAAGAAGTGACCCCTCACAGTGTGTAGGAGGTACCACAGCATAAGTAAATACATTTAAATAAGTAATACTGTTGTTGTATGTGCAAACCTGAGGTTGTTTAGTAAAAAACATATTTATCATAAAATATTAAAATTCGGCAAAATATGCTATGTGGTAAATCACAATTATTGAAAATAAAAACCTATGTCGCAAGAAAAATGGTTTTAAATTTTACATTGTTCATGGACCTATTCATGATAATCAGGTTACTGTAAAGGGTATGCAGTTACAAAATTTAAATTTCAACTTTTGGTGAACATTCATTGTTAACTTAAATCACCTGCTGGTCTTATATCCCCATCTGTTGGGCACCAGGAGGTAAGATCTACATGACAGATAGTCTGGCACCCTACCATACGTATTTGGAAGCAGTGCCAGATCTAGGGGTTCTGGGATGGGCTGTGCCCCCCTCCATTTTAGTTGCACCCCTAGATTTCTGAGAGTGTATCCTCTGATCCATGAGCCACTCTGATAAGGGCAATCCATTTAGGACACTGTGCTGGGGAAATCTGATATAAGGAGGCAGTTTGATTGGGACAATCCATGTAAGGGGGCACTGTGAAGGGGACAGTTGATGTAAGGGGCACTCTAAAGGGGACAGTTAATGTAAGGGGGCAATCTGATGGGGACACCTGATGTAAGGGGGCACTCTGATAGGAACATCTGATACAAGGGAACACTCTGATGGGGACACCTGATGTAAGGGGGCACTCTACTGGGGACACCTGATGTAAGGGGACACTGTGATGGGGACACCTGATGTAAGGGAGCACTCTGATGGGAACCCTGAGGTAACGGGGACTCTGATGGATATCTTTATGTAAAGGGGGACTCTGATGGATATCTTGTTGTAAAGGGGGACTCTGATTGATATCTTGTTGTAAAGGGGAACTCTGATGAGTACTTATGATGTCCAGAGGGACTCTGAGGACTGATGATGTAAGGGGGGACTCTGATAGTGGCACCTGATACAAAGGGGGACAGGTTCTGTTTATTCACTCTAATTTTACAACAGCCTAATATATACGAGTGTTTCCAAGGTCACGATGATGTCACTGACAGACTGTCATTAACTCACACAGTGTTGACATTGTGCCCAATGACTTTTTTTTAATACACCCCAAATCATATAGGCTAGATCTGGCCCTGTTTGGAAGCCTAGTGAGGAGGTCTTCCTATGCTGCATTCTCTCCAATACTTCAGAACCTATCCAGAAGTAATACATCAGTTATGGATATCTTTTCATATTAGTCACTTTGCATCCACCACTCTGTAAAGCAGGAAAGTTCTAAAATATTAGGGTACAGAATGTAAAATCCTGTGAATAACAAAATTATGTGCATACATTATATTTATCATTTTTGTTGCAGGGCACCGAGCAAGTCACAATTGGCAGAAAATAAGAATGGAGAACAGGAAAATACTAACAGAGACTTGTGCACTGAAAGTACCATGCTACAGATCCGGTTGGGCCCAGAAATGGTACCCATAGAACAGAACCTCCCTGAAATGCAATATCCATCACCTTATTCAAAAGCAGGTTGTGATGCAGCACTGATTATAGGAGTAAAAAAAGATAATGAAGTCATGCTGGAACACAAGATTACCCCTAGAGTGATTGAAACTTCCAAAGATGGCACAATAGGTGACATCACACTGACCAGGAGAATAGAAGAAGGTGCTATGGTTGAACTGCAACTGTCACTCCCACAGGACATACATTTGGGCAGTGCAGGTTCTCCTACTGTAACTCTCGTAGGTGCTGACCAGTGTACATCTCCAGAAGCAGAACACAATGTGCTACAAGATGAAGTTGCCTCTGAACACCTTGATGAAAAAGAGCCAGCTAGGCAGCAGGCATTTGCTACATTCCAGATCATGGGCAAACAGCAGGCAAAGATTATCCCTGCAGGACTGACAAGAGAAGCATGTCTCCCAAGGGTGGAATTGATCTTAGACTGTTCTGGCAGAGAGAAGGAGCCCAGATCTCAGTCTGACAGGGGGTGTGTAATATCTGGAGAAGAAGGAGGGCAGACAGAGGAACCTCCTTCCTCTGTCTCCTTTGGAATCAAAGCAGAAGACTCAGAGGAAGGAGAGGAGGCTCAGCAAGCAGAAAGGGAGCTCGTCAGACCCAATAAACACCGGGCCAGGCACGCCAGTAAGTATGCCACAAGGCATTGTTTGCATTGTTCTTATATGTAACTGCCATTTGTGTACTTGGCTTATATTTTAATAATTTAATAATCCTTCCTACTTTTTTTTGTTAGATGTAAATGCATGTCTTTAAGAAAATTGTTTTTTTTAAATATTTTTAATTTTTTTTTGTCAAAAGGATCTGGAATACTGAGGAAGCTCATTAGTAATTCATTCTTCAGTGGAGTTAGACTTTACCGAAATGGACTATTAGCTGGAAGGCAGACTAGTAGAAAAGCCTGATGATCCTTGCAGTTTGACAGTTTGACAGACACCAGCATGTGTGGCCCCGGCTAGTTACATGATCCTTTCCATTTTGTGAGTCTGCTAGACTGTGAAGTGAACTTACTATTTCTTCTGCCTTGTTCCCATTAGAGGTCAGACACAAAATCTATTCTGAGAAGTAGCTTGACGTAGTCCAGAACTGCATGCTGACTGCACAGAATTCACTAAACTTTCCTGGATAACCATAGTATGGCATGTCGTAGATGGTGAAATCCCAAATCTCAAATTTAACTGTGCATTTGGGTATCTTGTCTTACAGGGTTGTATCATCCTGTGTGTGTTTAGTTTGGTAGCAGAAATCAGCGCTGGTCCCTCAGCCCCCATGTGCTTTGGTTTACAGCCTATGGAACTCAGGAATTGCATCACCATCAGTATTTAAACTTAGCTCCATGCATAAGGGCTGGTATTAATAAAAACTTGCAAGGGAGGAGGAGTCAGCATGTTATACATTTGACAGTGAGCCTTCTAACAACTGTTTGAAAGCTATCACTTATCAGTTATACTATCAGGGGCTTGTAATACATAATCTAGCATTTTAGACTCACCATTATATATTATCATATAGATGTTTCTAAACTAAACTAAAGGTTGCTAACATTTGTTTGCTTTTCTAAAAACCATTTTGTTATTATTAAGATTTATTCTGTTTTATATGTTTTTATGATCATTTACTTTTTTAGTTAACCTTTGCTAGAAACTTTACGATTGAATTACTAAAACTGGACAGTGCAAAATCTTGTGAAGTTCTGCAAAGAAACCAGTCAGCTTCCAGATTTTACTGTCAAAGCTTAAATGAAGAAGCTGAGGTTAGAAGCTGATTGGCTACCATGCATAGCTGCACCAGATTTTGCACGCTTCAGTTTTAGTAAATCAAACTCATCAAAAGCAAAATAATTTATTAAAGCAAACAAAGTATTTTTTATTATTTAAAAACGTGAAGATCAATTAAAAGTAAATAATAATATTTAAATGTAATAATGTGTTACGCATTTTGTTTTATGTGTAGCTTATATTTATATGTCTACATAAAGCCTGGTACACACTAGCAATTTTTTGTCATTCACTCCAGTGGGCTGAACAGAAAAAAACTGCAGAGCTCAGGAGGAGCTCCTGTACTAACAATACAATGTTAATTCAGTGATCTCCCCAACTGAACTATTGTGTTCTGATAGGGGGACCCCCCCCCCCCCCCGCCAGAACACTCTGGTCTGTGCTCCCAGCCATTGGCCAAGAGTGCTGATCGGTTGCTGATCGGCAAACCTTTTTCGGTCATGCCCCTTCAACAGAAGCCAGCCAAACGACCGGATTCTGTTGGACCGGCCACTGTACACACGGGCCGAATATCGGCTGGTTTTTATTGAACCGGCCAATGCCGCCCGACATTCGGCCCCTGTATACTAGGCTTAAGGAGCATGCGCCTGTTACATAAGCAGGCTTTAGTGCTGATCCCCTTATCTTTCTGATCTCATTGACAGTCAGTCTCAATAAACACAGTAGGCTCTCTGCAGACTCATATAATGTCAAACACTCACAATGCATGGCTGTAAGTGATATGGTGAAGATCAGACCAGTACTTTTTGTTAATAGCAAGAAAGGGGCACTTTAGGATTTAGACATGCTTTTTGGTAATGTTAGCATGTGTAATATTGATTTGTGTGAAGCGTGATTTCAATAATAAATTCACTTTAAGAACTCATTAACACCAAGTGCAATGCAGTAATGGAGTTGATTTACTAAAATTGGAGAGTGCAAAATCTGGTGCAGCTCTGCAGAGAAACCAATTGCTTCCAGGTTTTATTGTTAACGCTTAATTGGACAAGCTGAAGTTAGAAGCTGTTTGGCTACCATGCACAGCTGCACCAGATCCTCCAGTATTAGTAAATCTACCTCAATATGTGGAATAACATGTGCTTTCCCTCAGTGCACTGAAAAACATTGGGATTGATTTACAAATAGATTATGCACTTTGCAAGTGCAGTTGCCCAAAGGTTACCGAATGTGATGAAGCTTCACTTCGTAAAGAATACCCAATCAGGTGCAGAGAAAATTGGATGATGGAAATCAGCAGAGCTTCACCACATTCACTAAGCTCTTTTGTAGGAAAAAAGAGGGTAACTGTGCTGCAACTTTACTTGCAGAGTAAACACACTATTTGGCTTTAGTAAATCAACCCCATTGGGTATGTGCATTGTCGTTTATTTGAACCGGCACTCCAATGCACATTTTCACTGCAATATGCCTCAACACATATGGTGTGAATAGGTCATGCCATTCATTTTTCTTTATTGTTTCCATTATGTTCTTGTTCTTTAGTTAAAAACCCTTTAAAAGTTGTAGTAGAGGGGTGTTTGTGAGTAGTAGTGAGGGGGCTTCTTAGTAATAAAGGGATTAGAATGGAATATGTCTGGCACTTCTCCAGGAATAATTGTAGGTATACACTGCTAATGGCACCTTCAAATAACAGACATCCTTTTGTAGCTTTCAGTGAATCTTTTATTGAATCTCTTTATTCTCATTAATTATGAGGTTCCCTCTTTATTTACTATTTTAGTTCTCCTTTTCAAAAATATGCTTTTACACTTTTTACCTTCAAATTCCTGCAATGTCAAAGCATTACTTGAGGATTTATCCCCAGACCCCATTCACAAGAAGAACTTTTATAGGAAGCCGAATTTCCCTACACAGGAGCAATAGATGATTCAATCTTCATTGCATAAGACCACAATTGTTCTGTCTATAGCCAGATGTAGGTGGTCAGAGAAGAAAGCTCTGCATTCTCTCATAGTAGCTTTTGCTATATCCAGCTTATAGTGTTACTAAACCTGCAATAGTAAAATCAGTCTGTATATACAGTAAAGCATGTGTGTTATAGTCACTGTGGAACCTAAGAGGTTAATCCTCCGCATTGTGTAAAAAAGCTGTTTGATCCTGTCTTTTCTGTTCCTTCTCTTCTGCTACTGCCCCCAATCCATCTCCTGATAGTACAGAGCTCTAGGAGTCACTTTGCACATGGGCAATTTAGTGTGTATGGCTAGAGAGGTTTTTTTTCTTGGGAGAGTGCATATGATCAGCACAGGGCCAATCAGTGCTGTCCAGACAGAGGGTCAGAGGTCCTTCAGCCTCATAGGACCATGAGGGGAGAATGAAAACTCCTACAAGCTTTAACCAGTGCTCTGCTGGACACTGATAGAAGTCCCAAGACTGATCTAACTGCTGATGAAAAAAGGTATTTAGCAGTTTATATTTACTAAAATTATTGCATTTCCATGTTCTAAGTACTGGCGAAGACCAGATATAGTGAATGCAGGGTCATGGGTTTAGTAACACTTTAAAGTCTTATTTTTAAACAAGTTAAGGTATATCTAAGCCTAGGAATATAAATTGTTAGTATTGAAGCTTAAGATGTGGTGCTCACATTGGTTTTCTTTTTCACCCAACTGAGCAGTGTGTTAGGAGAACTATATAACATCTCTCTCACTTCTCCATAACAGGGGAGTTGTTTTGTAGTCCACAGAGATCACAGAGAACAATGCTAACTGATAACAGTCCAGAGTCAGAGAGTACAGGAAGTTATCAGCTCACATTAGTTCTGATTGGATGAACAGCACTTTTAAAACAGATATAATAAAATTTATATAAAGCAAGGCCAGATCTAGGGGAGTGCTATGCTCCAGCTAGCAGATTATATTGTTCCCCCCCAAGTTGCTCTGGACACTGTGTGAGGCTAAGCGCTCCTATTCCTGACCATCCTGCATTGCACGCAAAGCTTCCCCAAGACTCTGTGAAAGCTTGTGTACTTCATTTAACTAACATTACCCAATCCATTGTCTTTGTCAAATTAAATTAATAGTTCATTATGTATACGGTAATTTTATAGTTCACTAGAGGGGTCACCAGCTGGAGGAAGGAGGTCCTGATTCCCCTACATAGATCTTTAGTTAGACCTCATTTAAAATACTGTGTCCAGTTCTGGAGACCTCACTTACAAAAAGATATTGATAAGATAGAACGAGTCCAGAGACGGGTAACAAAAATGGCGAAAGGTCTGAGAGTTAAAACATGTCAAGAGACCTCAGGAACTTAAAGTGGAACTTCACTTGCTCAATCAACATTGACTGTTTTTAATCATTTTGCTGCTAGCATAAGTAAATAGATAGGAAAGTATATCATATTTACTTCAGGAGGGGAGGGAGGGTTCCCAGCTCAGCCAATGCCTGAGCTAAGGGCAGATGGATTCCAGAAAATAAATGTTACATAAATCATCTGCCCTTACTCAAGATGGCCACTGCCAGAAATACCACGGGGGGGGGGGTCAAAATGAATTCTCAACAAAATAAACCATGGAGACATGGATGGATGGGTGAGTTTGTATTGAATATTAACAATGAATGAAATGGCATTTTTGATTTGTGTGGTGCTCAGATGCAGTGCAGTTCCACTTTAACATGTACAGTCTGGAGGAAAAAAGAGAAAGGGAAGACATGACTAAAACCTTTAAATACATCAAGGGGGTTTATAAGGTTCAAGAGGGCAGTATTTCCAAAATCAAACCAAGATCAAGAACACGGGGACATGACCTCAAACAAACAGGAGGAAAGTTCAAAACTAATCTTAGAAAGTATTATTTTACTAAAAGGGTAGTTGATGCTTTGAATAGACTTTCAGCAGAGGTAGTGAGCC